ATGCGCAGGCTCCCGTTCCTATTTTCATTGACATACAGCCAAACACCGGAGGCATAACTACAATCACCTGTCCAAAGAGTTGAGTGGCATATCTAGGGTGAGCTTCGTATAGTTGATAACTGATGAATCAGAAGGCTTGAAACAGCGAACCAATTCCCACAGCTGCCTCACACTCTTTATGTTGAGCTCCGGACCCAGCAGCTCGCAGAGAATGGAAATCCTCAGCGTGTTACACCCCAAAACCTCAGGCCTTGGGGTCTGGGGTTGTTGCTGGAATTCTTGACCCTCAATCCTATGCATTAAGCCTGAAATTCAAAACGTTCGTGCGGATCAGGCAAACTCACAACACAAGCCTGAATAATTACCCGCATCCTTTTGAGGTCTATTTGAGGCACCTTGTACCATAATCATGAAAGAGCCAAGGACAGTTTTACTGGCAATCTGTTAGGGATTTGTTTTAGGCTGACTCTGACTTGGTAGGCATATTACGAAACACAGCCTTAGCACGGTGATTGTGGCGGACGTGTGGGAAGGACAAACTGTGAGAGGGTCGCCCATGAATTATACAGATTTTGAGTCTTGGAGATGAGGATGTAAGTGTAAGGCTCAAGTGGTAGGCTCCAGCTGAGTATCACCTTAAAGAATACAAAGACGTTACCACACCTCTGTCTCGGGTTCAAGGCTTGGGGCTCAAACGCTCCAAACAAACCCCAATGCCTTTTTGCAACACCTTTCTGCAGGCAAGCCGCTCCGCTTCGCCTGGCCAAGACTCTGCCTGGCAACGTATTTAGGAGCCTGACGGTCTTCAACATGTTTAGTGCATAATGCTATAGCTTCGCGAAGGTTACGAGGGGAAACACTCCAAATTCTTCAAGCTCTTACACTAAACCCCTTGTATGCCCCTGTGTTATAACCCTTACTTAGACCCCTAGACATGTAACTCTTACTAAAGTCCCTAAAGACAGGAAAGACATCCTGAAGATTAGTCTCTGTGTCACTGGGCTTTTGGGGAATTGAGAAACTCCGGAAGTAAAAAGATAGCCGCTCATCAGGACTGCATGGTGTTAAGAAGTGGGTTCTCAAAAAAAATGTGCTTTTTTGGCGGGGCGAGTCTTTGTCATGTGGCAAGTTCTTTGCATCTCTGCCGTCAAGGACCTAAGCTGCTAATGATACTGCGGAACCCCCAGAAAACACAAATGGACAGCTTAAGAAAAAGAGCCTTCCTAGAAATACTCTCCTTTGGTCCCCATACCTGCAGCCAAAACACACATCTGATCCAGTTGAGAGAGAGCATGTTGAGCAAGCACCTTTAGCAGAAAGGGCTTTCTCAATTCGCTTAGGTGGGACTGGGAGAATGGGAACTGCAATAGAGATCCATTCCCCACTCCCAACTAGCCAAAGTATACTGCTCTGGAGGTAATGCAACAGATGACATTCTTACAGAACGGAAGAGATCGTTGTTGAGAGGTAGCTCTAGCCTGGTGAAACGCCCCACCCGCAGGTTGCACAAAGTTCGCTGATTATCGGAAAGACTGCTTTGCAAAGGCTTCATCTGCAGGCATTATGCTATGGAGAGTAGCTCAGGTTTCAAGTTGCACGAAGCACGGTGGTTCTCCTATAACTCAACGAGCAGTTTGAGGAAAACTTCTTCAACAACGGCCCCAGTATATGCAGTGCATCCTCTGCCATACCCCTAGGGAGCGGAAAGCAATGAGCTTGGCCACTTTGGGGGAAGCCCTGGTTTTAAACAGGGGCTGCAGTTTGTCGGAGTGCAACCTTGATACTTGATGGGTGAACCTACTCGGTCAGGTAAATGATTTTTGTTAACCTGCGCGGTACTCATGTCTGCGATGATGGGCCATGCGATTGCAAAACAGCCATGAGGATGGAAAAGCCTCAGCTTCATCCTGCGTGAAACATGTTTATCGCACTTGTGCTCCCAAGTGGCAGAGAATGATGATGCCCAATTTTCCCTGACAAAGGAGCTCCAATGAATGCCCTCTAGATTGCCCTGTCTGTGTGCAACCCTTGCAGAAATGTTCGGTCAAGCCTTAAAAGACCCAACATGGATTGTCTAAGAACCTTTTACAAAAGCAAGTGCCTTGCTGCTTTTGGCTGCGAGCCCCGTTTGATGTAGGAAGGTCCTTTCATCTTTGAGGTGTTTTGGACCCTCAGGTCAAAAGGGTCCTGTGACATCAAGGTAGGCGGCGTGATTAATATTCGGGCTGAACTTCGGAAACGCTTTTGCCAACTGGCTTTCTGCCCTGGGTCAAGGGGGCTTTAGGGACACTACCTTGCACTCGCTGCTCTAACACTTTTTCTAGGCTGTTTTGCGATCGTCCATGATACCCATCTACCTTTCATGCCCAGCCCCTCCTGCAACAAAACAGCAGTAAAGAAAAGCCACGGCCCCGAAACCCTTTGCTTGAAAGAGTTGCTGGATATACATATACATATATGTATATGCACATTAGGCGGGGAGCCTTTTAATATTCGGGGGAAAGGCGGAAAAAGGATTAGTCTAAGGCCCCTTTCGCTGAACTAAGCAAAGCAGCTTCTTGGAGCTGCTCCGGACTCCGCGGATCTGCCTGCGACTCCGGGATCATTCCATGCTTGTGAACGGTGGAACGCGGCCCTTGCAAACAGAAGGGGGCCCCTTTCAGGACTCCTACATGCAAGGATTGAGGGTACTGCATAATAGTATGACAGGTCCGGCAACAAAGGGGCCCCTAATGCCTGAAACCACCCACATGTGGCTCCATGATTGTTTGTGGTGTGTACCTAAGCCCTAGATGAAATCCCCAAAGCTGCAGACTGGAGAGGCCAACCCACGCGATTGAGGGCTTAGTGCTTCTGAGTATGCAGTCGTCGCAAGATTGAAGTGAATCAACTCAAAATCCTAAACCCCTTCAGTCTGCACAAGTAGGGGTCTTCTTTTTGGCTTCATGTTACTTTCGAGAACTGTTATTCGAAGACTGTCTCCGAAGTTTCTGTGGCTTGCTGCGCCAGAATCAGTGGACGTCTGACAATCGCCCAAACATAAGGATCCCTCGACGATCATATGGCGGTGAGAGGGTCCTTATCCCTCCTAAGATCTAAAGCCCGGGAAACTTCATAGTTGCCTTGTAGAATTCAAGTTGGGATTGCCCAACTTGCAACTTGTGCTTGTTTTCAAAATCCACCTTCAACCTACTTGCTGCTGAGCCCCAATAGCTGAGCCTGAACTTTAAATCTTACAGTACAGGCCCTGAATCCTCAGATCTGAAGCCCTTTTCCTTGGAAAGTCCTGGCCAAATCCGGCACTTTTCCAGATAATCCTGGTCCAGCCTCCCGACTTTGAAAGCACCTTTGAACGCACCCTCTCACTGAAAAGGTGCCCGGCACTTTTTCAGATTATCTTAGCCAAACCGTCCTGACTTTGAAAGCACCCTCTCACTGAAAAGGTGGCCAAAGCAGGTCTAAAGTGCGACAAAGTAGCCAGCAGGATTTTCAGTGACCAAACAGTGGCCATCGTTCCTCAGCAGCGTTCAGGATTGAAATTTAGGGTTGGTAAAATTTGTTTTCGGGGTTTGGAAGCCAGACTTGAGTCTACTTTGCTGAAAGCTGAAAAGAATGCGGGCAGTTGATCGTACACTTGGCATCATGCAGAATCGTTTCTCTCAACTTTTGGGTGACCTCAAGATGAAGAAGCTCTGGAATCATAACTTAGGATCCATTGACCTACAAATACCTACAATCTTTGGCAACCCTTATTAGTTATTTCCCTGAAAAGCGGGGCTGTTAACACTCCGTCTTTTGAAAGGCTGAGGGTTGGGATGTCGATGTTCTCATCCCATCCCCTGCCCCAGATAAGTTATGCTCCCAAGAGTTCGTTCTTCTTCCTTTGCAGCAGGGGTGCGGCACTGTGATCCTGCTTGCCGCGGGAGCCATGGCTGAAGCGGAAATGTACCCAACTAGTGATGGGATCCTGTACCTTCAGACTCTGGATGCGCTGGTGAAGGAATTTGTTGACGCCCAATAAGACAGCCTTTGTACAATGATTCTATGGGATGTGTTAGCTTGTTCTCAGGAGGCCAGCTAACAGTAAGCGAATGTGGTAGTGGGTCAATTGTCAGCGGGTCAGTATCTGCAGGGGTGGAGTCCATTGTATGCTGGCTTGTGTCAAGGGTATTCAACAAGTGAGGGTTTTGCCTTTGTACAACTTGTGAGAACGCTCGAGCTTCTGACGAAGTCTGTAGAAAGAGGCCTCATGCGTAGCATGATATTGGATTACAGAACCTGAGGCAGCTTACTGTAAGGAGAACAGTAGAACATGCCAGTATGATTTCCACGCTGAAGCTGAATGTGAGCAGGCACATGCACAGCTGAACAACATTCCTTGCAGGATCGTGCCGAATATCCTTTGGCAGTCCCCCTACACCCAGTATTGATATATTGAACACCGAAGCCTAAAGCCAATTGAAGGAGTGGTGGCCCAGGCCAAGTGATCAGCGAACGACAGCCACCGTGAAGCTCCGAGGAGCTGCGTTTTGAGCTTCAAGGAGGAACAATTCATTGACCAGCAAAACCTATAGCGCAAGACCTGTCTGGCCCCAACAGCTTAGGCTGACACACAATGAAGCCTTTTGCATGGCACTGTCGCACTTCTGGCCGCCCTCTCGGGCTTTTCTCGTCTGCATCAGGTCTGACAGCAGCATTGCGCAGAGAAGGCTGCGCACACCTCAGAGCAAGCAAGCAAGCCTTAGCAGGAATGAGAACCGTTCCAACCAGAACCGCAGCTTTGAAGCAGTTCAACACTGACCACTGTTCTCACATGTCAATCATCTGTCATCATCGTGACTTCATTCCTGCCACTGTGCACTGACTCTTACACTGCCGCTTACTTTCTTCTGCTTTTTGCTTGGTCTGAGCTGCTGACTTTGGCCGCGGGGAAGATGGTGCGGAATCGAGCGATACGAGGAAAACAGAGACAACAAGAACAAGACTCAAGAAATAAGACTTCATCCACCGAAGAGGTACTCCAGCACATCGATCTGGCATTGCTTCGCTTCCGCAGTCACAGTCGCAGCTTTGCTCGACAGAACCCGCCTCCCCGCGAAGGATTTTCGACAGTCCTGCAAGCATTCTGCTTTTTACATTCTGTTACACTTCTGAGCTCGTGAAGCTCGGCTCCTGGGCCTGTCTTCTTGGTGAGGAGGAAGAAAAATTCCAGGTGGGGATACCTGGCACCACCCTGCCACTGGCAACGTGCGTGCCAGGAGCATTTTACCCTTCTGAGAAATGGCGCTGCATCTCCCGAACAAGAATGGTGATTTGAGAGTCATGCGAGGATCACGCAATGCGAAGGATGGAGGATGGTCACCTCTGCAAGAAATCTTCCCAGTTCATGGCATCGTGAAGGTCGTCACCTGTCTGGTAGTAGTGGTCCTTCGCCAACAAACATCTTGCGCGGCAAGTTTTACGTCCGGGGGTTCATCCAAGGCGGGCTTGACACTACGGACCTACTACCTAGGACAGGCTTGCTCTGATCCGAGTTACCCCCACTTCGACAACAAATCCTCCCCCTCCGACTACTATGACTGCGACGACTGCGTTAAGATGCAGTCCTCCAGGTACAACAGGTACCGCTCGAATGTCCTCCTCTGGTGGGTGTGCTTCACGTTATCCATGTTCCCATCCAGCTCTGCAACTGCATCCTGCACAAACCTTATGACGGCACAAGGCAACACGAGCATGAAGCTGAGAAGAAAGAACGAGCGGATGATGCCCATACTTCTGCATGACATCAGACGCTGCACAACTGCCAAATCAACAGAATCCGCTGCCACCCGCCATCAGCTCACCGCTGAGCTGAGTACTTCAAATGTGTGCGCGTAGATTCAACCTCTGGCACGGCTTCTGGACGCACCTCGTATGTGGATTGGGCTTGGGCTCAGGGCTCAACATGCTCCAGGCACATACCTTGGAGGAAGCCAAAAGCAACTAAAGGGCACGTAAAAACTCCTTAGCGCTTGATTAAGGTTGCACTAGGGTACGGTGCAGTGGCCTGCGGCATATTGAAGCTTCATATGGGGTTTGGGATGCTACCTTCTGCATCCCCAAACCTCTGAACCCTAAAAGCCTGAACCGGGTGCCCAGCAAATTTGAAGGCCGGATGCGGGAAGTAGGACACCCGCACAGGATACGAGCTGGGGTTGGCGAGCAGCTTGCCAATCTCCTTCAAGTGGGTGAAAGGTTTGAGGTCCAAGGCTTCAAGAGCTGCAGGCTTTGTTGTGAAGTGCATTGCGTTGTGGGGTTGGGCTCTAGCCTGAAATTTGCAGCTTGGGATTTGCGGTTCCAAGCCTGGAAGTGCTGCGGTGTGCAGTTTAGTGCCTGCAGAGTCTGCAGGAAGCGGAGTCGCAAAGACTACTTGTATATGGATGACCACTGGAGTTGAAGGGTCTTGACAACCATTCTTCCTCGCGATGCAAATCGTGCGGAACTTGCAACAGCAGTGCCAAGAATCTGGCTCATGAAAACTGATCTGTCTTTATTGCCCCAAGTCTTGAAGGAATCCTTACTCTTGAGAAACTGCCATATCTCCATGTGCATTGGCACTTCATCGCTTGCATTGAACAATCCCATCCAGGACGGCCGGTCGCCAAACTCCAACCCATAGACTCCACTTGAAGGGTGCTTCGGACCTTAAAGCCCAACCCATTACCTACCTAGTATCTTTGAGAAGAACAGCATTCAAGGGGGTCTGAGCACATGGGCCACGCACGAACACCTGCAGTAAAATTGCGTAATGTTACGCCCCTGATCAATGCCCTACAGCTAAATCCCAAAAACCTTCGAGGCTATTGAGGGTCTGCATCCCTGTCCTGCTTGCTGCCCATGGCTTCTGTCCCACTCGCATCCGTGAATTTCAGGCACCTCCACAGAGCCCGCCGACAGCGCGTATTCCGGTGAGAAATTATCTTCCTGTCATTGTTCCGAATGATATTCTCTTGCAGCTAGTAAGTTACTTGCTGTCTGGCTAGTGCTCCCGTTCTTCCCCATCCATGTCACTCTAATTCCCGCTACCACTTAGTCTTTAGTCAGCCAACGCTCCAGCCTGTTGTCCAGCGACTGCGGCGCGACCCCGGCTGCTAGCATGTGCCAGGACAGCATTTCCCCAAAGCAGTCCTGCATGGTGCAACACCTGAGACCTCGAAAGGGATCCTTCCAAAACGCAAATTCCACACTTCATTGGGCTTCGGCATTCCTATGTCAAAAAGACTGAAGCACAAGCACAACTTGGTATGCACCATCCATTTGGGGATCTTGGCATTCTTGCAGCCGCCAAGTCTCTTCGCGTCACTCAAATGATGGCTTTCAAGAGTTGGGTGGGGGGGTTCAAAAGTCCTTCTCCGAGGCCTGCATGGTGAACTCGAACTCGCCACTCCTTGAAACAAGGCAAGCTGCGGGGAGGGGGTCTCAAATCAGCATCCATCTTGGTATTAAGGTTTTCAAGGAATGGACGTCAGGACAAGAGGCGAGTTTCTGCAATTCAGGGACGAGGTCAACCTATCTGTTTGGGGCTCGCTACTTCCTGCTGCAGCTTGCCACGTCACAAAACTTGCACACCTTATATATATATATATATACATATATATATATATATATGGCCAAATGCTTCCAAGGCTCATAGTCATGCCTTCCTCTATCCCTTGGCCCCAAGCCTTTCGGACCTGAGGACGACGTTGGCTTCAGCATAGTTCGACAACTTTGCATTCCCAAGTCTGCTTTGTGTGAACTTTCGGAAATCAAAATGTCGCTCTCTGCAAGCAGGCAAGGAAAGCCACCAAAGACTCAACAACAAATATTTCCCGATTGGCGGGTTCGACCCTGGAAGTTTGGGGAATCCTAATTTTGATATGTAGCAGCGTAACAACATGATGCTGTCCCTTTGGTGCTGCACCGGATGGGTGACCTTCGTGTGCGACCTCAAGGCGAGCTTTTAGGGAAACTCTCCTCTCATCACAGGCAATGCAGGAAGGTTTCCGTACATCATATACGCAATTGTAATCTAATTTGTGGAAATTCTCAGTCTGGTATCGATCTAGAAAAATTACCATCCCTTGTATTAAAGTTCTTCTTCGCCGGAGTGTTTGGCACGAACGGTGCTTGTAAGGGACCGTCACAACCTCTTTGTTGGCTTTGCACCAGTCATGGTGGTTTTCGCGCTTTCCCACCTCTTGCCAGCACTCAACTCTGAACGCGTTTATCCCCTAATTTGGTACGGATCCCATGATCCGCCGAGCCCGGCCTGATGGGATGAGTGCGCAATGAAGCTGCTCTTGCCCCGTGTTCCTTCGCCGCATATCGGCTCCTCACTTACCCTGCCTTCCGCTAATCCACCTCCCAAGCCTTTCAGGACCGCCCTCCAACACATCCCCTCCCCGTCAAATCCCACAGGCCCCCGTCGCGTTCTTCTTAACCCTCACCCCATCCACGTTGTTTCTACATGTTTCCCCGCTCTTCTTCCTTTCACCGGCAACAGAAGGTGCCTAGGCACTTCGGCCTGCCATCCAGGAGTCAAACTCAACTGTAAATGGAACGTTAACTACATGAACGGGGCGAAAAAGAAACACCTTCGTTGAAGGGCTTGTGGGTGAGCAAACTCTAACTTCCACACTCTTTGGGGTAGGCTCACGGTGACCAGTCACTTTTTGCCCTTTCCATACTGGGCAGGTAGGGACTCAATAGGGGAAACCCCAGCGTCCCTTGCCTGCCGAGTGAGGTGCTGTACCCCACTGGTGAAAATCTCAGCCATGCCATGGACGGCACTGCAGCTAGTGCTTCCAAGGTGAGATTTTCAGTTTCAGTCTTACCCTTCGGGGTCCTCTTCCCTTGTGGTGAGTAACTCTAGCTCGAGCTCCCAGGGACCAAGCATTGTGCACGACTGCTGGGCGCTGGTGGCCTTTCACATTGCGGCGATTCTTGCTTTTATGGGCCGGATTCCTGCGCAGACCCAACACTCACATCCAAAAAAATCTTTTTGAACGCCACCAAAACCAAATCGGGGAAGCCTAAGCCACAAGTCAAAAAAACCCTGATTAGGCACATGGACATGCTGCCCCTCCACCTGTAACTTTGGCGCGGAGCCCACAACCAGCCCCTGAGTATGGCGCAGGGTCCGACACCCCTAACCTGTGGAGTCAGCCATCCCAAAAGTAATTCCCGGCTGGTGAAAAAAGGGCTGCTCGGGAAAGCTGTCTTATAGAGCCAACGGACACTACAGTGTCAGCTCACGTGGGCTGGGCCCCGGTTAGTGAAAGCTCGCTGGGAGGCTCCATATCAGTTGCATGGGGAGACTGCTGCCAACGGTAAACCTCACCCCAGATTTATGGGAACATCCCTTTGTTGGGCGCCAAATTTCCAGGCGCCAGGGCCTTATACCCAAACTGAAACAAATAAAGATCACGTTAATGCTCCCTTAAGGTGCGCAGAACGGGGCCAATAGCACCGGTTAGAAAGAACTCCCTGATTACGCACAGGGACATGCTGCCCATCCTCTTGTAACTTTGGCGCGGGGCCCACGACCAGCCCCTGGGTATGGCGCAGGGTTTGATGCCCCTAACCTGGATACCTGGCCACATCCTGAACAACCAAAGGACTGGGAAAGAGGTGTCCTTACAGCAAAAGAATTTAAAAGCCCTCAGAAGGAGCACAACTTACCGAGGGTACGCTACAAACTCGGCCTGCAGAGTGTGAAATTGGCCTAGAAAATTCCGCAAGGCAATAACTGCTTTTCGAGGACGGGAAAAAAGCCCTGCCCGCTTGCAGGCAGGGTGAGGGTGCTTTATCTTTACCCTACTCTGGCTTACCCTACTCTGGCAACTAGCCAAGCAAGACACAAGGTTTCCCAACCCGCAAAAAATAAGAAGCCCAGGCAACGGCGCCTGATCCCTGGTCTTCCAACCTATTGCTTAGGCTGTTGAAGGGCCGAGGGTTGTAAGGACATTGTTTAGCTTTTCGCTCTCCTCTGAATCCCACAAACAGCAATCAGTTTTGCTGGGCAATCTTTTTCCACGGCATCATTCTAACGCGAGTGCGCAAAGGCCTTCACCGAGGTCATCTAAAACAAACCAAAAGAAACATGCTGTGGAAAGGTGCCTCACATTGCAAATTGACCACAAATGCAAAATGGGTGAAAATTGCAGGGCGGGATTCCTCCGTGAAAGGATTGGGCGTCTTCTTCTCGTCATAATAAGATACCTAAAGGCTACTTTACCAGTCAGGATTCTAGACTGGTCACCAGTGAGTGTTCTTTACTGGTTTGCTCACTTGGTGCCTTGCTTCCCGGGTGTTGTCGACCCCAGTGAGACACTCAACTTGGGACGGTGATTGGACACGGCCTTTCAGGCCAGCCCACCGTTTCACACAGTACAAACCTCATCGCTATGCAGGCTTCATGCTATGGGCCAATATCTTGAGCCATTTCCCCGCCCTTCTACCCTCTCTTTCACCTCTCCAGGACCCCAACATTCCCCCCTTTTATGAGGGCGTGGGGTGTGGAGGGGTGAAAATAGTCCCTACTACAACCAGACGGTCCGTACTGCAACCAGATGGTCCCTACTACAACTGAAAAGCGGGCCCTATCACAACCGGTCCCAAAAATCACAAAACCGGACCCTACTGCAACCAGAACACGACATGATGAGATTGCAACGAAACGCACCTAGGCCATGTACTTGTAAAGGTTTTTTGAAGGCTTTTGATTTGGCGGTGTTGGAAAGCTCTTGGAATGGC